TTTGTCAAGAACTGACAGCCTATCCTGAAGCTGGGGAGGCAGACCTCCAAGGCTGGTCTACATCATGCACCAAAATTTGGAATGGGCACTGGGTTAGAAGTAGGTAACTGGCTGGCTCCTGGGACCAAGTGTGTTTCTGGTTTTGTTGGTTTTTTTCAACGTATGTTAAACGCTGAGTATCCAGGTTATATCAGAATCACTGCTGGTTGCCCAAGGACCTTGGTGCTGATTCTAAGTAGTCCATCCTCATTCACATCAACTCCAAGTGACCGGGAGGCCTTTGAGCTGAATTCTGTGTCTCACTGTGGTCTCGTATCACCCAGTCTGTTTACATGAAAGCAAGAGACAGGCAGCAAGTTGTCCTGGAACCAGCCTGGGCTGCAGAGTTGGGGCCATCAGCCTGGGCTGCAGAGTTGGGGCCATCCAGGCTGCAGTTCTGGCCCCCACTGTCACCTCTCATCTTCAAATGGGGATTATTAACACCTCCACGTGGTGTTCTGTAGATTGGAGATAACGGATAGAAATACCTAATCTAGTGCCAGCCCCCTAGACGAGGAGGTGGTGTTGGGAGAAAACACTGACCTTGGGCATTAATTTCTTCTCTAAAATGGCCACAGTGGTCTGGTCAGGTAATTTGCTATTAAGAATCTCATAAAAGGTAATATAAAGCCCTCTATGCACAAATGTACAAAGGCACATACTTTAAATATATTAGGGAACTCAGTCCTACTCTAACCCCAGTGCCAGGTAATTTCTAAGAATTACGATATTGTTTCTCACAAATAACTGGGCTTATCATGAAACAGGCTCTTTCTATCCTCTACTGAGTCGAAACATCCAGGAATCTATCCTGCTCATCAGTGCTTTCCTATTGCTACTGTTTGCCACATGTGTCGTTTAATATGTTATCTAACATTTAGAGCAAAGAACTTCGCATCTGGATTATCGACCACCCATAACTTCCAAATTCAGGGAGTAAAACGTGGGGCTGGGTTACTGTGGGCCCCAGACCCCATGAATACAGGAAGTAGGGTGGCCAGTTTAAAAAGTTTGTTTTTCCATCCAGCTTACGAAGGAAGATGCATCCACTTCCATCACTGTTACAAAGCCCCAGTTTTGGGAAATGACTTTGTAAGATAATTGTTAATGGAAAGTCTCAGTTATACATACAAATAGGAACTAACGTTTATGCTTGTTTTTTTAACATTGAAAAGGTGTATGGTTTCTAAAACAAGGTTATGTGGTTACTGTGTGTAAGGAGTTTAGTTACTCTCCAATAGTGAATACACAAAATCTGATGTCTTTGAGGAAAGTCTGCCCCATTCCTTGGCCCCTGCCAAGTGTGGCAATGTCCGTGAGCAGAAGAGGGATCCGTGTCCTCAGTCTCTTTATTTCAGGGAAAAGTTGACGAAGATGTGTGGCTTGAGTCAGTGAGGGAATGAGTCATTTATCTTCAACAATAAAGGTCATATGGAAGTAATTCTACAAATATTTGGCTGTGTGTAAATTCAGTACAGTTGCTAGAACAACTAGAACTTAAGCTCCAACCCCACCCTCCTACTCTAATATTTCACAGGACTCCAGACAGTCCTTTGCATACATCTCTCTGGCATCCCAGCTTTCCAGGACAGGAAATGGAGCTTATTCCCTGGATTTAAGTGCAAGAGTTGGCCAGAGTTTCTCTTTAGCCCTGACAGAATCAAGATGAGTTCAGGGTATTGATGCACCTCTTGAGTTTGGAGCAGAAAACTACCATTTGCTACAGAGCTGGATGATAACACACTCTTCATGGGACCAGGACTTTGCTAGAGAAGCTTAGTGTGGTGGAAAAAACCCTTTGAAGTCAGACCTTAGACTGAATGCTGACAAATGTACACTTCCAGGCAGGAGAGCACAAGCATGAACAAGGCCAAAACAGGAAAGAACAAAGGCAATTTGGAGAAAACAGACAAGGAAGAAGAAAACACTGGAAAAGAAAGCTATTGTTGATACCCTCAGAGATACACAGTGCATCCAGAGAGCAACAGGGTGTCTTTTTGAAAAAATACTTCTTTGTCAGAGAATTAAAACAAGGTCCTATAAATTAGAAAAAAAAAATAAAAAGCAAAAACGAAAATAGCAGAAATGAGAAACAATGGAAGACACTGAGAGATAAAGCTGAGGAAAGTTCCTTAAGAAGTAGAGTGAAAAGATAGAGATGGAAAAACCAGATAAAAGTTAAACAGGAGGCCTGGTCCAGGAGGCCCATTATCCAAAAAAACCTAGATCTAGAAAGAGATACATTTTTAAAAGAAGATGTTATGAACTGCAGTTTTGTCATATGCTGAAATTCTAACCTTCAAGGGGATGGAATTAAGTAATTAGGTCATGGAAGCAACTTCAGCTGAAGAACCTAGAAGCAGGGCACAAAATAGGATGACAGGCAGGATTTCTCCTTGTTTGGGAGCTCCAGGCCCAGCCCCAGACCTCAGTGGGTCAGCTTCTGTGAAGCTGGCATTGGGCCTTTGGAGGTGAGTATGTCATGAGGGTGGAGCCCTCATGAATGGGATTAGTGCCCTTCTACAAGAGGCCCCAGACAGCTCCCTCAAGGCTCTTCCGCCACATGAGAACGTAGAAAGCAGCATTAAGAAACCAGAGACAGGGCCCTCAACATTGGTGGCGCCTTGAACTCAGACTTCCTGCTTCCAGAACTGTGAGAAGGAAATGTTTGTCCAAGCCATCCAGCATATGGCATTTTACCATAGCTGCTGGAGCTGACTAAGATGGGTGGAGAACAGAATTAAAAAGTCAGAAACTTTCCCAGTGCCCTGCCCGGTGGATCAAAATAAACCCTTACACATACATATCATTGTGAAATTTTACAATATAAAAACAAGAAGTTCCTTTAAGCTTTCAGGGTGTGGCCGGAGAAGGGGAGAACATTTCTCAGAAAGGAAGAATTGGAATAGCACTGGATTTCTCAATAACACTGGATGTTAAAAGACAAGAGAGTGATGCCTTCAAAAGCCTGAGGGAAAGTGGTTCCCTAGCCCAGGATTCTAGATCCAGCCAAACTAACAAATGAGGGGGAGAAATGAAGACTTTCCTGACACACAAGATTTCCCGTGAATGTTTTGTAAGAAGCTCCCGGAGGATGTTCTCCACCAAAGCAAGGTAACCAAAAAAGGAAGGCAGGATCCTCCAAACGGTGGTGAGGAGCGATCCTACACGAGACAACAGCTTGTAGCTGCCTTAGAGCAGGAGCAGACCAGCCTGGACTGGACCGGACCACAGCAGGTCAGGAGCTCGGGGAAAATTTCTTCAAGAAGAAATGGATAGACAACGTATGTGTCTGAACAAAATGGAGAGGAAGGAGATTCGCCTACCTAAGCAAAATTTGGAAGAGCTGGACAGCAAAATAACCATGGTACGTATGACATGGGAGGGCAGGGTTGTGACTGGTACTTACGTAATTATGATGCCAACAGGATTCTACTGGGAGAATGGAAAAACAGGATGTGTGTGAGGGGGTGGGGGAGAAGATGAAAGAGAACTGAATAATGGCTAAAACTAGAAAGAAACCAGAGTAGCAGTATGGCAGACTACATTTGAATAGCACTATTTTGTCAAGGTCAGAGCTCCCAGGGTGTCATATGGATAAGTGACATGGTGTCTGCAACTGGCTCGCAAATAGCACTGAGCGAGAGAGAAGGTGGATCTGGGTTAAGGATATTCAGGTGTTCGTTATACTCTTCCTGTAAATTTCTGAAGGTTTACATTTTTTTCAGGAAAAAACCCAAAAAACCTGGGAGATGACTTGTAGCGTAATTGCACTGTTTAGAAGGAGATGGCCATGCTTATCAAGTTGCTTAAAAGTTTTTAAATGTTTGTCCTTCGGGATGGGAAATCAGCATGTTGGAAGGGTGGGAGGGCGGGCCCACGGCTGTTCTTTAGAACTAGCTTTGAACGGTGATTTGACTACTGAACTCAGACATACATAACTGATTAAAAACAAAAGCTAAATTTTAGAAAACAAATACAGGGGAAATTAAAAATTAGTAAAACCAAAACTTATTTTAAAAAGCAGCTTTTGTACCTGCAAACCCTGCGGGAAATATTATAGAAAAATATTATCCACAGCAACAAAAGGAACATAAAATATTTAGAAACGACGCTGACGTGCAAGCTGTAAGATTTCAATGAAGACTAGCCCTCTACCAAGGGACTTGAGGAATTCTTGGAGAGACGTGTCTTATTCATTCCTGGGCAGGATGATTCAGTACTGTAGAAGGAGCAGTAATCCCTACAGTACACTCAGTACAACCTCAATCAAAACTGATTTTTTGGCTCATTTGTGAGACTACTATAAAATTGATTTTTTGGCTCATTTGTGAGACTACTATAAAAATAAATAAATTGGATAAGGAATTGCTCAACCAGATTTTAAATTATATTAAAAACCACAGAAATTAAAACACTGCAGTATGGGCACTGTAAATGAAAGGTCAACAGAAACAAACAGTCTAAAAATATCGGTCCAAGTATAGCATGTGCTAAAGATGGCCTTTCCACTAAGCACGCGTGTGTGTGGGCGAGCGAGGAGAAACGGATTCATCAAGCAACTGGCTAGTCATGCGGAGATCCCACCTTGTACAGGACAGGACCTGTAGAGTGGGTCCCTCCCTCATTTTCTTACCTGCACATATATTACAGCTACTTTTTAAAAAACACCTTTATTGTGGTATGGTTTCTGTAAACTACACATATTCCAGATAAACAATTTGATGAATTCTGATGGACGTGTAGACACCAATGAAATCACCACCACAATCAAGATAGCTAACATTTCCATCACTCTCCAAGAGGTGCAATTTTTAAACTTCCAGTTTATCCCTTCCCACCCCCTTTACCTGTTGGTAACCTTACGTCTGTTCTCTATGTCTGTGAGTCTGTTTCTGTTTTGTAGATAAGTTTATTTGTGTCCCTTTTTTCTAGATTCCACATATGAGTGATACCACATGGCATTTTTCTTTCTCTTTCTGGCTCACTTCACTTAGAATGATGATCTCCAGGTCTATCCATGTTGCTGCAAATGGCATTATTTTAATGTTTTTTATGGCTGAGTAGTATTCCATTAAGTAAAATAGAAATGTCAAATCTAGCCAGTTGCCACACCAGAGCACAAGCACCATGCATGTCTTCAGCCTCTCTCACCACCCCATTTTTAACTGTGTTTTGTTGCTTCTCCATCTTAAATATCTCTGGACGGCATCTCCAGTGCAGCTCCATGCTGAGAAGCCCTCTAGCACGTCTGCCCTGGATGAGCGCAGCAGGATCCTACCTGGTTTCCAACTTCTAACATGGTCTGAATCCAATCCAGGGTGGGATTGCTTGCTCTCAGGCCCACATCCAGTGGCTTGTTGTGGACTGGGAGCTTCGTACTCCAGCCCCTTCTTTCTTGGGCATCCTCTCTCCTGCTGTCTCTGGATCGTTCTAAGAACAGTGAACTGCATCAGCCTTTCCCCCAGACTGCCCCACACACTGTTCCACCCAGTACCCTTCCCCGTGCCTCTTGCTCTTCAGGTCTCGGAGACTTCCATGACTCCCTGATACCATGGACTCTGCTAATGAAAGCATTTTGTCTACTTGACTATCTTCCCCCAGGAAGTATGTTTTGTGAGTGCAGGAATCATGTTTGCTTGTCCATCTTAGATCCCCTGGAATCTAACATTATACCTAGAACATAAGAGGCACTCACTAAGTATTTGGTGAATGAATTAAACTGTGTTTGTATAAATCAGTCCTTCACAATTGAAAAAAAAAGCTCAAAGTCACATGGCACAAAATGGATGGCAGCAGCCAACAGCAACCATGACCAGCTGGCTTGAATAAAGCCCTGGGCTGTGTCTGAAACTGTGCCCTGTGCGCTGTTTACAAAATTACAAACTCATGCTCTGAACAGTCTCCTCTGACTTCTCAGTATTTTCAACAACGGCAGCTTCTCAGAATCTGACCCACTGAGGTCTGGGGCTGGGCCTGGAGCTCCCAGAGGAGGAGAAACCCCGCCTGGGATCCTATTTTGTGTGTTGCCTCTACGTTCTTCAGTGCAGGAGCTTCAGACTCACCTTGTGCACGGCCCAGCTTCTACATTGGAAATGGGATCTTAAAAGCGAAATTCTGAAACTATTTTCCTTTTCTTTCCATGTAAGTATCAGTTTATTTTTTCAAGTACCGACAAAACCCCGGCTCTTTCTAGTAGAAATGGGTGGGGTATGGGGGTTAAGGGAGTTGTCAGCTGGATGACAACTGACATCCTCCTGAGGCAAGGACAGCCCAGGTCCATGAACAAGTGCTTCCCCCACGGCCACGCAGTAAGGACTGGGGCAGAGCCCAGGGCTGAAGGAGAATTAATAAAACGGCGGCACTTAGGCTAACAGATTACTTATATGCTTGCTCTTAAACTGGCCAACTAACCTGACCGATTGGTTGCTGTTCCCAGCCCGAGACCCATTATTAAAATGAAGCTATTAATTTTGCTACCTCTGCTTTATTCCGGTAATCAAGAGAAATAATCATACCTGGTTTCCGAGTTGTTCTCCAGGAAGAAGGTCACAGAACTGTAACCTTACAAAACAGCCTGAATCACCAGAAGACCATGCTGTGGGCACTTACAGATAAAGAGATCAAAAGAGTGGCAACCGCCAGCCTCTACAGAATCAATCACCTGGAAACACCATGACACCACTCTGAGCCGCATAAGGAAAAAATTCTGTTGATTGTTATCGATGTCTTCTTGTTTAAGCTGTCGCTATGTAATCATCCTGCCCCATCCCCAAGATGGGTTCACCGTTTTGAAGGCACCAGCTTGCTGTGAGCCCCCTTGGCCTGGCAAAGCAATAAACCTGTCTCTTCTGCGCTCTAAGACTCTGTTTCTGAGCTTTAATTCAGCTTCATCAGGAACAGGGGCCGATCTCTGGGCAACAGGACCACAGGTGTCCTCCGCCTCAGCTCTGAAGTTAATCTGATGTTCTGTCAACTCCAGTAGTGTGTTGCTTCCTCTAGATACAAAAGAGAAGTCTTTTGATTTAAAAACCTTTAAAGAATCACAAGGCCACAAAGCTAACACTGAATAGGAAGGAAATATTTTAAGTTCCTTAGCATTTGTCTTTCACTTAGAGCAAAATGTTAAAGCTGTGACTGGCTCTTTATGCCTCTCTTCTTCTGGATAGTTTTTGTCTCAAACTTTGCTAGCAAAAGGTTAAAAAGAAGAAAGAAAATCATTAACTTAGTACGGTGATAATCACAACATATTCTGGGTTCCCCTGTCAAGTTGTTTACTCCTTTGGGGTCTATCCAGCTGTCTTGCAGGGTTGGAAGGAGACTTCTTGCAGAAAGGTTTCAACTGGATTTAGAATTTAAATCTAACTTCAAGCAAAGGGGGAGGAGAGACTGCCAAGGTCCACGGGTCCACGTGGGTCTGGCCTGAGGTCACCCGTGAGAGCCAGCTGTGAAAGGAGGCTTGTGTTCCATCAGCGCTCGGAGACAGGAGCTTGCCCTTCTAGACATCAAACAGCTACATCCGATGAGAGGGCCATCCCACCAGCCTCATTCATGGCTTACTCCCTGAGTAGCAGAAAGTTCACTTAGCAACTTGAAGACAGAGATAGGAGTTACGATGGACTAAACAGAATGAAATGCAGCAAGTAAGCCATTTGGCGACCATTTCCCCTGAAGCCAAGAGTCTCATCATAAACAATTCACAGAGGATGGGTTGGGAGGGAGTAACTGATGACTTAGTTTTTAATTTTATGAAAAGTGTTGTCTCCATTTCCGATGACAAGATCATTATGTATTCTCACCAAACTGGGAGCACACTAGCTCACAAATCAACTGTATGACCTTACGTACCTTCTGTATGAGACTGAGTTTACATCCTTCTATTCCTATGGAGTAGAGCCAAGCTTTTTTCCATTTGGAAACCCTAACCACCCTGAACAAATATCAATTTTCCCTCACGTGATCTTTAGGAATGGTTTACCACAGGATGCTTAGTTAACCAGAAATGATTAGCGATTCCTTGTCATGTTGAGTTTGTTTTGTTTTCTTAAATACAGGAAATGCACTGGAGTTAACTTTTTTCTTCACCGGACAAAAACACAGAAGATAAAATCACTCTTTTCCCTTAGTTATAGTAGTCAACAGTTGTGGCTGCTCGGCATCCGTTCTCTGTTCTAAACCCCCATCCCCGCGGTGTGATTGGCCGAAGGTGTCCTGGCCGGCGGCCTCTCAGGGCTGTGCTGGCCGGCACAGTGGCCACTGGCTGCAGGTGACTCCTGAGCACTTGAAATCTGTCTAAGGAATTAAATTTGTAATTTAACTTTAATCAATTTACTTAAGTTTATAAACTGATGCTCAATTCAGTTTTTGAGAACTCTTAAGTATGTCTGGAACAATGTGAGTCCGTGAATCTACTTTTCCAACTGTAAGTTTTATGAAAGCTACAGTTAACTTTTTACAGTTCAAGTATTTCCGCTGAAAATTAAGCTTCCAAATTGAGATGTGTTGTAATTATAAAATAGACTCTGGATTTTGTGGGCAAAGTACAAAATATCTTACTGGTAATTTTGCAATTAGCTACTTGCTGAAATGATAATATTTGAATATATAAGGTTAGATAAAATATATCATTAAAATTAATTTTTCATGTTTCTTTGTACTTCTTTAAACGTGTGGCACTAGACAATGCAACATCACACACGTGGCAGGCGTTCTGTTCCAGCGCAGGCCGGGCGGGCCGGGCAGCGAGGCGACCGCGCGGACTGAGCGGCGGGTCAGTGGGGTCGCGCTCCCTCCCAGTGTCCCCTCCTGGCGAGACCCTCCAGGCTTCCTCGTCTTCCTGGCGGATTCCCCCCAGCTCACATCAGCCGGCTCCTCCAGGTGTTCGCAGCCAGACACCCGAAACCAGATCCGATCGGGATTCGTCAGGAAGCGACTCTCTCGCCTGGGCCCCGGTTTCCCAGAATTCCTGGTACCCCGGTTACCACTGACGTCACAATCACCGGGGCGGGGCGGGGCGGGGCGGGGCGACGTCACAATCTCCGGGGCGGGGCGGCTGAGTCTCCATCAAACGCCTCTGGGATTCAGATGCTCAGCCACGGCTGAGAAACGCAGGTGTAGGTCTGCATCTGAGTGTCTGCTCAGCCAGTGAGTGAACACGAGCCTGTGCTGCCACACTTCTGACGGAGACGTGAGCCAGCTTTTTTTTTCCCGCGCTCCGCAGCTGGAGGACTTGCAGGCGCACATTCAGCAGGTAGTTTAGTGAGGGCCTATCACTTACGCCGCGGGTATAGACACTAAGGGTATAGCAGTGAGCGCTGCGGATGAAAACCCCTCTCTGCCAAAGCGCACTTTTTAGTGGGGAATGGGGCGAAAATAAGCCAAACAAAAAAAGATACTTAACTGTGTTACGTGATGAGAGTTCTCAGAAGAAAGCCAAACCAGGAAAGGTGGTAAGTAGTGTGTGTGTGTGTGTGTGTGTGTGTGTGTGTGTGTGTGTGTGTGTGTGTGTGTTGGAAGGGCATTGACATTTAGGTGAGGTGATCACAGAGGGAACGCTAAGCCAGCCTTGAGAATATGGGGTTGGGGAGAGCCTTCTAGGCAAAGGGGGAAGCAAATGCAAAGGCTCTGAGGTAGGACCTTGGCCTTGAAGTTGCCATGGAGTTCTTTAATTGGGCCACCTCTTAACTTGCGAGGCTGAAGTTTGCTCAAGGCTTCTGGATGCTGGAAGCTGCCACCCAGGAGGAGCAGTGGGCAGCACCAGGTGGTCCTGAAGGATGAGGGGAGGGAAGAGTGGGGTCAGAATCTACCTGGCAATGTGGTGAGACCATTGCCCTAATGACGTTCTCTACCTCGTATAACTTGATGTGCCATTTTGAAACTTGAATTTGCTCTTGTCAACTTAAAGGATCACAGGGGATTTGAAGATGGAATAAGTAGCTTCTAGACCAGATGCCACCTGTGGCCAGAAGGCGGCCCTATTTTCACCCAAAATACTCCTTGCTAAAGAGGAGGTCTCAGCCTCTCACTGGAGGTGCTGCATGTTTTCAACCAGCTGACCAGGAGCTGGGAGCGTCTTCCATATCTAGCCAGGAGCACCCACCTGACAGGGGGATGTGGACTTGAGGCTGTCTGTCTGTCCAACTGGACTGGGTCTGAGTGCCTAGGGACAGGTAGCTTGTTAACAGTTGGGTTTTTTTTTTTTTTTAACGTAGTACTTAGTTTTTATTGAGGTATAATTAGCATCACCTTATATTACTTCTGGTTGTACATTTTGATTGGATTTTTTTAACATTTTTTATTGATTTATAATCATTTTACAATGTGTCAAATTCCAGTGTAGAGCACAATTTTTCAACAGTTGGGTTTTGATTTTCTTTAATGCATGCAAATGATCAAAGGTAAAACTAGAATAGCCTAACTTCCTGGAAGTAGGTGGAGCCTTTCCCTTGTTCACAGTGAGAGAGGTTTGGAATTGATGGCCCCAGCCTGTTGGGATAAGTGAGAAAACCCAGGAATGCTCTTTTTTGCACATTTGTTTCTCATAAGAGTGTCCTATTTTAACAGGAAGCAATAAATATTGTTTCTAATTGAAAAAACATCTGAGCTATCAGAGGAACAGTGGAAGGCCAATGTGGCTGGCGTGGGGTAAGGAAAAAGAGTGGGAGAAACTGAAGTCAGAGAGGTCAGGGCAATGGGGAGGGGAGGCATCTGCAGTGTCCGCTTTCACCCATTTAACGTGTGAAGGGTCGTAACAGCCGTCAACCCTGAGGGTGAAGTGGTGCTGGAAAAACGCTTTCTGGAGCCCCCATCCATGTGACTTTTCTCCATCTGACCAGTGCTTACTCAGCGGTTCTGAGAGAGGCGCTGCTCAGGACGGTCACTCTGTGTTCACATATTTTGGGGTGAAGATATGTAGAAAGAAGCCTTTGTTTCACAGAGCTTAACGCAACCACACCCTTATACTAGGATGTTCATGGATTTTCTTCATGATAAACACATGATCACAATGAGAGATATGGAAAAAAAGAGAAATAAAAATATTGTGGCAGGATCATAAACCCTGAATGCTCTTTGTCTGCCCTGAATGAAGTGAGGAAACTTCCCAGGATACAGTTTATTTGGAAAATTGGAAAATTCTAATAGCTACCAAACATGGTTTTGTTTTTCTTAGGTATCCTGACTTCTCTCTGTACTTAGCTCATCACAGCACTCTGACTAATTTGATTGGATTCCACATCAGGAAAATTTTAAAAAGTAAACGTGTGTTTCCTGGATTGTTAAATACTCATGACACATCATTTCTTTTTTTGGTATAATTTCTGTACAGTAAACCACACATATTTCAGATGTACAATTTGATGTATTTTGATAGATGTCTACACCTATGAAACCACCACCACAATCAAGATAGTTAACATTTCCATTTCTCCCCAAGAGGTGCAAATTTCAAGCTCCCAATTTATCCCTTCTCACCTCCTTTAGCCCCTGGTGACCATAAGTCTGATATCTATGTCTGTGAGTCTCTTTCTGTTTTGTAAATAAGTTCATTTGGTGGGGGGTTTTTTTGTTTGTTTTTTTTAGATTTCACATATGAGTGGTATCATATGATATTTTTCTTTCTCTTTCTGGCTTACTTCACTTAGAATGACGATCTCCAGGTCTATCCATGTTGCTGCAAATGGCATTATTTTAATTTTTTATGGCTGAATAGTATTCCATTATATAAATATACCACATCTTTATTCAGTCATATGTCGATGGACATTTAGATTATTTCCATGTCTTGGTTGTTGTAAATAGTGCTGCTGTGAACATTGGGATGCATGTTTCTGAATTATATTACTCTCCGGATATATGACCAGG